CCACTGCACTCCAGTCTGGGCAACCAAGTGAGACTCCAACTCAAAAAGAAAAAAAAAAAACAACTTGAATCATATCGTGTCCCTGCTCAAAACCCTTCAATAATGCCACACTGGACTTAGGATAAGATTTAAACAAAACAAATTTTTAAAATCTTATCTCTGCCTAAAAGGCTCTGTATGAATGATTTAGCCCGTCTATCTCCTGAATTTGAACTTATGCCCTTTACTCAATACTGTCCTCTATCTCTCTCCTTCCTTCCTTCCTCTCCCTCCCTCCTTCCCTCCTTTCCTTCCTTCCTTCCTTCTTTCCTTCCCTCCTCCCTCCCTCCCTCCCTTCCTCTCTTTCTCTTTTTGAGTCAGGGTCTCACTCTGTCACTCAGGCTGGAAAAAGAGTGGTACAATCACGGCTCACCATAGCCTCGACCTCCTCGGCTCAGGCGATCCTCCTGCTTTAGCCTCTCAAGTAGCTGGGACTACAGGTATGCACCACTAATGAATTAATTATTTTTGTATTTTTGTAGGGACTAGATCTCACCAAATTGCCCAGGCTGGACTCGAACTCCTGGGCTCAAACAATCCTCCTGCCTCTCAGCCTCCCAAAGTGCTGGGATTACAGGCGTGAGCACTGCTCCTGGCCTGAATTTCTTTCTATTTCACTACTTCCCTGAATCTTTCTTGATTCAAAGTCTGTCTGGTATGGTGGCTCACACTTGTATTCCCAGCACTTTGGGAGGCTGAGGATACCCTGAACCCAGGAGTTTGAGACCAGCATATGCAACAGTAATACCTTGTCTCTACAAAAAGTTAAAAAATTAGCCAGGCATGTGGTACATGCCGTAGTACCAGCTACTCAGAAGGCCAAGGCCGGATTGCTTAAATCCAGGAGTTTGAGGCTGCAGTGAGCTGTGACTGTGCCACTGCACTCCAGTCTGGGCAACAGAGTGAGATCCTAATTTTAAAAAGCCTCTGTTTTCTGTTTGGAAATGTCTTTTCTGCTACTGTTTGCTTTGCCTAACTCCTCCAACTCAAACATCAGTTCTAAATTAAAATATTACTTTCTCAAATAGTTCTCTGATTTTTCTATCTAAACTAGCTTCCTTTGCTATATTCTTTCATAACACTGTGTACTTTTCCACAAATATATCTGAGTGATTTTTAGTTTCTTTATTTTATTATTATTATTATTTTTGAGTTGGAGTCTCACTCTGTCACCCAGACTGAAGTGCAGTGGCTGCTCCTGGCCACCGCAGCCTCGAACTGCTGGGCTCCGGCGATCCTTCTGCCTCAGCCTTCCAAGTAGCTGGAACTACAGGTGTGCGCTACCACACCCAGCTAATTTTTGATTTATTGTAGAGATGAGGTCTCGCCAAGTTGCCCAGGCAGGTCTCGAACCCACGATTTTTAGTTTTAATATCCAACTCCCTTGCTAGATTGGGAGCTTCATGGGGATAGGCACATTGTCTGTTTGGTTCCTTACTTTATCTTCTGGCCCACAGTAAGCATCTAGTAAATTTTTTTTTTTTGAGTTGGAGTCTCACTCTGTCACCTAGGTTGGAGTGCAGTGGCATGCTCATAGCCACTGCAGCCTCGACCTGTCTTCCAAGTAGCTGGAACTACAGGTGTGTGTTATCACGCCCAGCTAATTTTTTGATTTATTGTAGAGACGAGGTCTTGCCAAGTTGCCTAGGCTGGTCTCAAACCCCTGGGCTCAGGCAATCCTCTCGCCTTAGCCTCCCAAAGTGCTGAGATTACAGGCTTGAGCCACCGTGCCTGGCTGGTAAATATTTTTAAAATCAATGAATGAACAGGCAGTGAGAGGGGCATAACCTATGACATAGATAGAAGCACAATCAAAGCATTATAATATCTTGCTCAATCCTAGTCATTGTCAAGAAGAATATGCTTTTCATCTGCTCTTATTTGTTAATCTCTGATAGCTTAAGACTTAAATGAAGATTGGAAGCCAAGTGATTGATTAAGACATATATACTCTAGGAGGCTCCTGAGAGATCTTTCTCTCATAAAAGATACGTTATGGAATATGGAGGCTACAGAAAGATCTTGTAGAAGAAAAGGATATCAAACCTGAATGAACGCTGGGCCCACTTCTCCTGATCCACGCGGGGAGCCAGTCCAGATTTTCCAGCCCATAGGACATTGTCACAGGCGAAGTATAAGGCTCGATTGAGGTGACTAACAGTGATGCAGAATCTCAGGACAACATCTGATAGGTGCACAGCTCTTTTGGCTGACTCAAGGGCATCTGCTGAGTTACCCAGGCGCAGAACTTGTGGAGATCAGCAAGAGAAAGCAAGGATTTGGAAGCAGAGAGGCAAATAGAGAGCAAAAAACAGAAAAAGAAAGCAAGAGAGTGAAAGTCAGGCAAGTAATAATTGTAACAGTTTTAAAAAAAAGCAGAAACAGTTCATTCTTTTTTTTTTTTTGTCAGAGTCTCACTCTGTTGCCCAGACTGGAATGCAGTGACACACTCACGGCTGCAGCAGCCTTGACCTGCTGGGCTCAGGTGATCCTTCTGCCGCAGTCTTCCAAGTAGCTAGAACTACAGACACACACTACCATGCCCAGCTTATTTTTATTTATTTATTATAGAGATTAGTTCTTACCAAGTTGCCCAGGCTGGTCTGGAACCCCTGGGCTCAGGCAATCCTCTCATCTCAGCCTCCCAAAATGATGGAATTGCAGGCATAAGCCACTGTGTCTGGCCAGTTCATTATTTTACTTTTTCTTTTCCCTGTTGACACCTTGATATAACTGTTCATTCTTTTTTACTTCAAATTTAATTAATTTTTGTCCCAGTTTAGTTTCCCAAACTTGTCCCATTCTCTTCAAATCCTCCATTACTTCTTTACACCTGCTCTCTTATCTCAGTTGGAGAAAGGCAGAGAGTAAGTGCAGGGGGAGAAGAGCTGGCAGGGAGGGTACAGGAAGGAGGGACTAAGGGAGAATAGCTGGGGACGGAGGAAGGGTTGCAGTGATAAAAAGAAGTTACTTACGCTTTCTGCCAAGGCTCAGATGGCCCTCCAGTTGCCTAATCTGTTTCTGTAACTCAGGACTGGCCCCATGTTTCTGCAATGCGTGGCCAAGAAGAGAGCAAGCATACTGGGCAGCCCTGGAGGAGAGGATAGACAAGGTAAGATGGAGGCCCCCCCGAACTCCCCTCCTCAAATCCTCCAATAGGCAAGGCTAGAGTTTCCCTTTTCTCAGTTCAAGACCATTCCCTTTCCTCCTCTTCATTTTCATATCTCACCATTTCTCCTCCAGGCCAGGGGCAGGAAAGGACAAAAAGGAGCCAGAAGGGAGTGAGAGCACTATTGAAAGTTGAGAAAATAAGAGATTTGACAATGATGAGGCCTGAAGGGGCCATGAAGGCAGCAGGGAGTCCAATTAGTGTGACATGTACGTGATCGATGACAAAGAGGGACAGTTGGAGGGTAGATTAGTCCTCAGGATAGGTGAACTAAGAGATTTCAAGACCCTCCAGCTGAATGGAGACCAAAAACCAGAGCGGAGGCAGAGGAGTTTCCGGGTGACAGCACGGTGAGGGGACACGGAAACCGGGAGCGCCCCCTCAGCTCTAGGGACAGAGTCCGAGTCGCTATCCACCGCCGGGAGAACGCTCCTCCTTCCACCACCGCCCAGTGAGGAAACAGTTCTTATGTGGACACGGCAACCCTGAGCGGCCTCCCCGCTGGCCCACTCGTGCCTCAGTTTCCCCATCTTCCAGTTATCGGAAAAGAATCATCTCCTCACGACCGGCTCCAATCTGCGCTTCAAGGTCCGTCTGGGACCCCGTAGCAGCAGTTGACCCTTCTTGACCCCCGTAGCCTGAACTGACCTCGCCTCACGAGCATCTTCCTCTGCCCGTCCTCCCCCCATTCCTATTCCGACCGCACCTACACAGCCGCTCCCGGGCCTGGCTCTGGGAACTGAAGCGGACCCAGGCGTCCATGACAGTGGCAGCCCCGGCTCAGAGGCCCCGCTCCCGCCCCACATCCCGCCCCCTAGTCACGCCTCCTGGGCGACCCAACGGTGCCTCGCGAGGGACAAATAACACCAGAAAAGACAGCGCGTGGAACCGGCCCTGGAAGCGGAATTTCAGGACGCGAAGCGGTTTTCTTTGAGCCTACATCTGCGTGTTACTGTGCGTGTGCCTCCGTCAGGGCGTCCCCTTAGTAGACGATCTCCACTCCCAGAGCACGCCTCTAGCAACACGTTCTCTTTAAATATTCAGGAGCAAGGGCGGGGCCTGGGGTGGGGGCGGGGCGAAAAAGCGCCGCAGTAGTCTGCAAGCTCTGGCGGATGGGACGCTCCCAGAACACCCCCAACCCTTTTGCACGCTCGCTCCAGCTGCTGTGGAGGCTGAAGAGGTCTAAGGCAGCAGAAACTCGAAGGCCAGACTAGTCTGTCCGAGGGAAAAGGAACACGATTAGTACCAGATCTCCGTTCCCTGCAGAACCCTGACAATTGGACAGGTGACCTCCTCCAGAATAGATGGAGAGTCTCCAGAGACGGAGGCTTTAGTGGACAAAATTCGCAATAACCAGCTCCAGATCCTGAAAAGGAGGGCGAAGAATCAGAGACTGAAGCTAACCACTTCGTACCCACATTTCATCCTCCCAACCCTTCCACTCCTGGTCACCATGTCTGCGGGCAACAGCACTCCTTGGAAGTCAGCAGCGGGGGAGGATGTCTGGGCGGGATCAGGAGTGGAGGTGGAGGGCTCAGACCTGCCCACCTTCTCAGCTGCAGCCAAGGTCCGAGTGGGAGTGACCATTGTGCTGTTTGTTTCTTCGGCTGGAGGGAACCTGGCCGTGCTGTGGTCCGTGACACGGCCGCAACCCAGCCAGCTCCGCTCCTCTCCAGTGCGGCGACTCTTTGCCCATTTAGCAGTTGCCGACTTACTGGTCACTTTTGTGGTTATGCCCCTAGATGCCACATGGAATATCACTGTTCAATGGCTGGCCGGGGACATCGCATGTCGGACACTCATGTTTCTGAAACTAATGGCCATGTATGCTGCAGCTTTCCTACCGGTAGTCATTGGGCTCGACCGCCAGGCAGCAGTACTCCATCCGCTTGGGCCCCGCTCGGGTGGAAGGAAACTTCTGGGAGCAGCCTGGGGACTTAGTTTCCTGCTTGCCTTGCCCCAGGTGAGTGATTTGTCGGGACTCGGGCATGAGCAGGACAGGGATTTGGGTCCAGAGCATGAAGCTTGGGAGTGAAATGGCGAGCTTGAGAGCCGTTAGCCATTGACCCTCAGGGAAGAAGCCTCTGCTCCCTTCTGCAAGGTTATCTGTATGTTAATTTACATGTTAAGAACCTATTTTTAAAAAGCAGTATCTTGTATTTATCGATGCCTCTTTCTTTCAGACTTGCTTTACTACAATTGGCTTCCATCTCTTTGCATCCTCCTAATCCCATCTCCTTCAGGAGACTGGTGCAGAGAAACTCTAGGGTAGGGAGGAAACATACATGGGAGTCTGTTAAGAAGAGGGTGAAGTCAGGAGACAAATTAGGCAATTACAATATAGTGAGCAGTCAAAAGTGTCATGCTAAATAAGGAGTTAAAGACAATGCAGGGAATTTTTTTTTGGACTTTTGCACTCAGGGACAGCTTTCCAGAGATGTTAAAATTTGCTTGATAGATGTTAAATTAAAGTAGGAGAAATTCTAGGGAGGATGGAGAGTAGAGGGTCTCAAAGTGACTGCTGCTAAAGGTGAGGACTAGAAAATGGTAATGAAGTGGCAGGGGAAGAGAGCTAGATCACAGATAGTAAAGTTGTACTTTATCTGGAGGGTGGTGTGGAGAGATACTAAATTAAAAAATGAAGAGTAACACAATCAAATTTGTATTTTTCACTCTGGCTTTATTGTGGAATGGATGTTAAAACTGGAAACAAGGCTGGGTGTCATGGTTTGATGTCTGTAATCCCAGCACTTTGGGTGTGGAGATGGGAAGATTGCTTGAGCCCAGGAGTTGGATACCAACCTGGGCAGTCCAGTGAGACCTCATCTCTATAAAAAATTAAAAAATTACCTGGGCGTGGTGGCGTGCGCCTGCAGTTTCAACTCTTCAGGAGGCTGATGCAGGATTGCCTAAGCCCAGAAGGTTGAAGCTGTGGTGAGCTGTGATCATGCCGCTGCACTCCAGCCTGGGCAAGAGTGAGACGACTCAAAAACAAAACCAAAACCCTGCAAATAAGCAAGCATCTGAATTTGAGCACTAGGCTAATCAAATCTCAATACTGACAAGGAGCTAGAAATCGAGAATAAAGCTAAATACAAAGCAATTCCTTCAAAACAACGAACACCATTTAGTACTATCATGAAGGAAGTGCGGGATAGAGCAGCATCTCCAAGACTATGGACTTGCATTATGTCTGGAAGGAAGCCAAGAAGGGTCTGTTTTCAGTCTTTGGAATGCCAGTGCCTTATAGTCAGACTTAAGATTTGATCTTTACATCCTCAAGTATCAGAAATGTTATTACTAGAAGTTACTCTGACTATAGTTCTAAGGACAAAGAAAATATTGCTTCCAACAATATGTTGCAAACAGGACCTCTACCACTTCAAGCGTTAAAAAGTGTGTTGCCACAGTGTCATAACAATTACACTTGGGTTTGTTTATATGAAGCAAATTTTAGATGTGGATTGGGAATGAGAAGACTGTTTTTGTTGCATTGTTTGCCTGTTTTACTTTTTTTTTGTCTGAGTCTAGGCTCTATCACTAACTAGCTGTAAGATTTTGGCTAAGGCACTTGAAATCCAAGATGGAACAGGAGATGAATTTTATACTTTTTTTTTTAAGTTGGAGTCTCACTTTGTCACCCAGGCTGGAGTGCAGTGACACCACAGCCTCGACCTGCTGGGCTCAGGCAATCCTTTGAGCTTAGGCAATCCTTCCACCTCAGCCTTCCAAGTAGCTGGAATTAACAGGCATGTGCCACCACACCCAGCTCATTTTTTCATTTTATTGTGAAGACGAGGTCTCGCCAAGTTGTATAGGCTGGTCTCAAACCCGAGCTCAGGCAATCCTCTTGCCTCTGCCTCCCAAAGTGCTGGGATTACAGGTGTGAGCCACTGCACTTGGCCACATTTTACTTTTTTACAGCTTAACAATCTTGACAGTTGCACCCTCTATGTCTCAATGGTAAACTGATAATGACATAATGATACATGTGCAAAAGGTGATATATTTTTGGTTCCAGATTACTTTTTCTTTTTATTAAGAGACAGGGTCTCGCTCTGTTGCCCAGTCTGGAGTATAGTGAGGTGATCATGGCTCACTGCAGCCTCTGACTCCAGGGCTCAAGTCCAAATCAGTGTCCTTCTGGTTAAGTTCTGCCTTTTCCACATACTGTAATTGTATTTAAAATGTGTCAATTACAAAAAAAAAAAAAAAATATATATATATATATACATATATATATATATATATATGTAATAGTGTGATGTTACTGTGGTGCAGGAGTATGAGGGGTAGTTAGAAATTACTTATTTCTGTAGGCTTAAGTGTCCAAGTTATCAGCAGCTGAAAGGAAGGCTTCTGCAATAGATGGTAAATGGCATATAAAATAGGAGAAAGGGGAGACAAAAGGCTATGGACCAAATTGTAAATCTAGGAGCTTTGACTATTTTTATACTCCTCACAATTCTCAAGTCTTCCAGGCACAGCTCAAAAACAAAACACTCATAAATATATGGATGTGGCGGGCACAGTGGCTCATGCCTGTAATCCTAGCACTTTGGGAGGTGGAGACAAGAGGATTACCTGAGCCTACAGGTTTGAGACCAGCCTGGGCAACATGGCAAGCCCTTGTCTCTGCAATAAATCAAAAAATTAGCTAGGTGTGTGGGGCACGCCTATAGTTCCAACTACTTGGAAGGCTGAAGTGGAAGGATTGCCTGAGCCCAGCAGGTTGAGGCTGTGGTGGCCTTAAAGCATACCACTGCACTCCAGTCTGGGTGACAGAGTTGAGACTACTACTCTAGAATTCTATTTCTCTGGTTGATACTATTCACCTTCCCTGAAAGTCCCTCATACCTGCTAAAATCACTTTCCCAAATGCCTTATATCTAGCAATCTAATAGTTATGGAGCTTACCTTTTGCCAAATGAATAGTGATTCAATCTACTGGAACCAAGGCACCAAACTAAAAAAATCTTTAATGATTCAATCCAGAAACCCAGTAAGTTCTCAAAAAGGGGAGGGGCAGCCAAAAGCTTTTGGAAATGTTAAGTTTTATTATAGTTATTGCACACAAGACTATTAATACTAAAGGTCACTTTAGTGTAGCTGCAAAATGGCCTGGAATTTTAGTAGCACCTATTTCATACAAAATTTCTTTTCCCACAAAATTTATCACAGGCATATCAGGAGGATCATTTCAACTAAAAATATAGGTGAGGTGGTAGAAATATTATCCTTTTAGAAAGTGCAATGTGGGCTGGAGATGGTGGCTTCTGCCTGTGACCCCAGCACTTCTGGAGGCCAAGGCAAGAGGACTGCTTGAGCCCAGGATTTTGGGACCAGCCTAGACAACACAGTCTCTACAAAAAATTTTAAAGATGAGTCAGGCATTGTGGTGCATGTCTGTTAGTCCCAGCTACTCGGGAGGCTGAGGCGGAAGGATCACTTGATCCCAGGAGGTCAAGGCTGTGTGCAGTGAGCTGTGATCATGCCACTGCCCTGCAGCCTGGGCTACAGAGTGAGACTCTGACTAAAAAAAAAATAAAAAATAAATAAAGTGCAATGTTAGAAAAATACTTGGGACGGCAGGATTAAGTTCCAAGATTTAACAAACTTATTTCACAGCATCATATCCAAGCCTAAGGGGAAGACAGACTATTTTAAGATACTTTTCCAACCCCTTTAAAATGGCACCATGAGCTGGGCTTGGTGGCTCAGCCTGTAATCCTGTGCCTTTGGGAGGCTGAGGTGAGTGAACTGCCTGAGCCTGCGGGTTCGAGACCTGCCTGGGCAGCGAGACCTCATCTCTACAATAAAATCACAAAATCAGCCAGGCGTGGTAGTGCATGCCTGTAATTCCGGCTACTTGGAAGGCGGAGGCGGAAGGATCGCCGGAGCCCAGCAGGTCAAGGCTGCGGTGGCCAGGAGCGGCCACTGCACTCCAGTCTGGGTGACAGAGTGAGACTCCAACTCAAAAAAAAAAAATGACACCATGGATGAACCATTACTCAGCACTGTGCTACTTCACTTGAAATTTAGGATGAATTGGGAAGAGATAGTGTGACATAGGTAGATAGGTTGGGAGGTACCAGTTCTAATAGTCCTTAACTCCACTCCAGCTGTTCCTGTTCCATACTGTCCGCCGAGCTGGTCCAGTCCCCTTCACTCAGTGTGTCACCAAAGGCAGTTTCAAGGCTCAATGGCAAGAGACCACCTATAACCTCTTCACCTTCTGCTGCCTCTTTCTGCTGCCGCTGACTGCCATGGCCATCTGCTATAGCCGCATTGTTCTCAGTGTGTCTAGTTCCCGGACAAGGAAGGGGAGCCATGGTAAGACTAATCCCAGGCCTTAATCCTTACCCCTAGAACTGTTGCCTCTAGCATCACTTATTTATCTAGCTACCTACCAGCTACTAAACCAAAGTGAGATCCTAAGTCTGTCTCTAGCACCTGATGCTAGAGAAAATTTTATTAAATGCCTTCAATTCTAAACGGCCTCTACCTAAGTTGAATTAGCTGGGCAAGGAACAGGAAAATCACTTTCCCAAATGATCAGGAGACTTGGTGACTTCATGTAACATAGCATCTCAATCAAAACTTTTTCTCAGCCAGGCTCGGTGGCTCAGCCTGTAATCCCACGCCTTGGGAGGCTGAGGTGAATGAATTGCCTGAGCCCGCAGGTTCGAGACCTGCCTGGGCAACTTGGTGAGACCTCATCTCTACAATAAATCAAAAACTTAGCCGGGCGTGGTAGCGTGCGCCTGTAGATCCAGCTACTTGAAAGGCTGAGGCAGAAGGATCGCCAGAGCCCAGCAAGTTCGAGGCTGTGGTGGCCGGGAGCGGTCACTGCACTCCAGTCTGGGCAACAGAGTGAGACTCCAACTCAAAAACAAAACAAAACAAAACAAAAAACTTTTTCTCTAACATGTTTGTCATAATCCCTGGGGGTAGGAGATCATTCAGTCTCAGGATGGGAAGGGGAGGAGGGTTTGCAGCAGTATCCTTTGAGGGGGAGAACTCCATCTCACTGGCTCTGCCCTTCCATCAATTCACTAAAAACTCTTCAGTTCAGAAGGTAAGTGTCTGAATTTGAGTACATTTTCTAAATTCCTAGCCCCTGCTGGTGAATACACCCTCCGCCGCTCCTTAGACAATCGCCCCCGTGTTCGTCTCCGGGCCCTGCGACTGGCCCTGCTTGTCTTGTTGACCTTCGTCCTCTGCTGGACACCTTATTACCTACTGGGTCTGTGGTACTGGTTCTCCCCTGCCATGCTAACTGAAGTCCCTTCCAGCCTCAGCCACATCCTTTTCCTCTTTGGCCTCCTCAATGCTCCTCTGGATCCTCTCCTCTATGGAGCCTTCACCCTTGGCTGCCGAAGAGGGCACCAAGAACTTAGTATAGACTCCTCGAGGGAAGGAGGGTCTGGGCGAATGCCCCATCAGGAGATTCAAGCCTGGAGACAGCCGGAAGCACAAACAAATGTGACATCAAGGAGGGCAACAGAAACAAAAGAGACATTCCTATAACATCCATTTGCTCACAACAGAGTATACAGGAACAGAATAATTTTTCTCTAATACCATAAGAACTCTCACTATTATCCCTGCTCTCTTAGCTTCCAAGACAAAGAAATACTGAGTAGTGTCTCTACTTAAATCCTACATGAGACTTGAGACTATGTCTAACAAAGAAACTCACATAACCAGCCTGGGTAACACAGCAAGATCCTGTCTCTACAAAAAAATCTAAAAATTAGCCAATTGTGGTGGCACATGCTTGTAGTCCTAGCTACTCAGTAGACTGACATGGAGGGAATCACTGGAGCCCAGAAGTTTGAGGCTGCAGTAAGCTATGATCACACAGCTGTACTTCAGCCTGTGTAACAGAGCAAGACCCCATCTCAAAAAACAAACAAAAAAACTCGCATAGAATTCAGTCCTCAGGAGAAGTATCTTCACAATGATCCCTATTTCCTTACTGTAAACAGTGCTTCAGAGCTTTCAATATTAGAATAGGAAATTTTAAACGTAGAAAACAAAAACGAAACATTTATTCATAACCCCCAAAAACCACTAAGCAGATAGGGTGAGAGATTAAATATAAACACAACAAGTTCCACACCAGCCCTGTTTCTCCAAGGCTGCATGGCCGAATGGAATTGTGGAGAGAACACCTGGATAACAGAGGACCTGTCAGCGACGTCTCCGGTCTGGACTTCTGCTGCGTCTTCGTCCACCTCTAGGGAAAAAGCGGGAAGAGGATCCATCAGAGGGAAGTTATACAATATCCTGGTTCTGTTTCGCTCTTATTCCCTTCACCAAAATAGTGTCTGCCCTCTCCACTTTACCTCCTCTTGCCTTTGGGCGGACCTCGAACAAAACACCAGTCAACACTGATCGGCTGTCCCATCAAATCCTGACCATTGAGTCCCTCCATAGCAGCCTGGGCCTCCTTGTATGTTTCATACTCAACTAGAGTATACCCCTGAGGCAAATGAAAAGACATATCAAATCCTCCTACTTCACCAAGCGTCACTGAGTATTCTCTTCCTCAAATCTAAACTCAAATAGAAAAACCTATAAACTTTAAACAATGAATGTACATCCTCCATCCCTACTGTATATACAATGTGTCTGTTTCTGTCTATCTGTCTCTGTCTGTCTCTTTGCTGTATCTAACAAAATTGGTTCCCAATGTTATTTTATTTCAACTTTGCTTTTGGCCAACCACAGAAAACACAGAAGAATTACCAATGCTGTCAAAGGGTTATGGGAGAAGGGAAGCAATGAAGTGTTATTTAGCATACCTTCAGGTATCCTGTTCGCCTGTCCAGGTTGAGGTGGATGTTTTTTATTTCCCCATATTCTGCGAATTTGTCGTGGATGTCTTCTTCAGTGGCTTCCTCATGGACTCCAGTGACAAAAAGAATCCAGCCTTCAACAGCTGTTGGAGAAGGGGGGGAAATTGTACAAGCACATGAGAGAAAAACTGCAAACAGGATCACAGGAGTAGAGTTAGTGTGGACTCCAGAAACGGCTTAAGCTATCTCTGAACCCACTCTTACTGCATTTAATTTTATTGGTCTCTATAACTGCCTGAAAACAGGGATCCCCCAGAGTTAGCATTTTACTCACAACGTTGTGGTCCAGGTTCATCGCCATCTTGTTCCACACTGTCATAATCCTCACGCATCCGCGCTCGGGACCCCTCTTCTATAAGGCACATACAAAAGATTACCAAAAACTTCCCTCTTTCTCTCTGTTCTTCCTCAAACTAGGAAATGAAGAAAGTTTTTTTTCTCTCAAAGTTTGTAGGCCTGTACGCTTTTCTGAGGAGCAGCCTGATGTATGCTAGAAGCATTTTTTAAAAATAGTTTGATTAGCAGTGCAGGTTTAAAAAGCTGCTTCTGGAATGGACTGCAGCACTGAATTCTCTTCAGGAAACTAATGGATCTGGTTGCTGTTGATTTATGTAGCTCCTACCCTATTAGATCACTCTACCCATTTCTCCCACACTCACCAGAACCAAAGCCACGGCCCTTTCGTTTCTTCGCTTTTTCTTTCAGTTTGTGGATGCTCTCTGGAGCCCAAGAAGAGAAAAGAATGAGTAACAATGACAGGAGTAATTTATAACAATTGTCGCTTTTCCAGGATACTATCTGTCATTTCATTTTGTTTTATCTTATGGAGTCAGGGCCCTGTCACCCAGGCTAAAGAGCAGTGGCTGGATCACAGCTGAACCCCAGCCTTGACCTCCTGGGCTCAGGCTTCTGCCTCAGCCTGGAATTACAGGCGCATCTGGAATTACAGGCGCATCCCACCACATCTAATTTTTTTTATTTTTTACAGTGAGAGATGAGATCTCACTATGTTGCCTAGGCTGGTCTCGAACTCCTGGGCTCAAGCAATCCTCCCGCCTCGGACTCCCCAAGTACTGGGATTACAGATATGAGCCACCACACTCGGCTGCTTTTTATTTGTATTTATTTATTTGTTTTGAGTTGGAGTCTCACTCTGTTGCCCAGGCTAAAGTGCAGTGGCACAACCGTGGCATAACCATGGCCCACCGCAATCTCGACCTCCTGGGCTCAGGCGATCTTTCTGCCTCGGCCTCCAGAGTAGCTGTGACTACAAGCGCGCTCCACCACGCCCAACTTATTTTTTGTAGAGACAAGGTCTCACTATGTTGCCCAGGCTGATTTCGACCTCCTGGGCTCAAGCGATCCTCCCGCCTTGGCCTCCCAAAGTGGTGGGATGACAGGTGTGAAGCACTACGCCCGGCCTACAGGACTATCTGAAAGGGGTCCCCCCCAAGGGCTTTAACCTCCGTCCCTCTCCGGTTCCACCCACAATCCTCCCAAAAGGGGTGGAGTCTCAACCCACCAAGACCCCGTTACCAGTTTCTCATCCTGCCTGCCAGCGAGAAGATTAAATTTCCCTATTGCGCCTTCTCTCGCACTTTCCCCGCTTCCCGCAGCCGCCTCCACTGTCCTCACCGTCCCCATCCTCATCCATGGCGAAATCCTCGCCCCCAGCCTCGTGAAGATCCAGCACGTCCGCCATCTTGCCGCCGGTCAAGCTCTCGTCTGTGCCGCCCAGACACTAAGCACCTCGGGAAACTGTCGCAGAGGGGAAAGGTCGCCAGTCGAGCTGACCAATCAGGACCAACCCTAAATCCCGTCGGCGCTGTGAAAATACGCAATGGGGGCGGGCCTAGCTCGGAAAATGCGGAAGCGTTTCTATAGCCATCTTGGACAGGTCGCGAGCTAAATGATGCCTCCTCGTTGGAAGCGACTAACTAGGGAGGGTAGACGGAGTCAGCGGCTTCCTCCTAACTGGGGCAGTTGATGAAAAATACTGTACTATTGACGGTGAAGTACGGCCTGATTTCTGTAGTATAAGGTTGCTTTCCATCTCTTTTCACCCCAAACTAGGAAATGGAAATTGAAAATTTTTTATTTCAAAATTTCTAGGTCTGTACCTTGTTTCGAAAAGCAACCTGATGTATGATAGAAGCGTTTTTAAAAAATAGTTTGATCAGCAGTTCTGGCTTAAAAAGCTGCTTCTGGAACGCACTGCAGCACCGAGTTTCTCTTCAGGAAGCTAACGAACCTGGTTACCGTTGAAATACGATTGGTGAGACAGGTATAAACTTTTTTTTTCCCCCCTTAAGGTAAAACTCCCGAACTCTCCCCACTACCTGTGGGACTTTTTTT